TGCGCCGAAATGGAGGTGGAACCGCATGCGGACCCTGACACTTGGGCCTTCGGTGGAGCTCCCTATGGGGCCACGAAACGTGTGAGGGGTGCGCCGAAATGGAGGTGGAACCGCATGCGGACCCTGACACTTGGGCCTTCGGTGGAGCTCCCTATGGGGCCACGAAACGTGTGAGGGGTGCGCCGAAATGGAGGTGGAACCGCATGCGGACCCTGACACTTGGGCCTTCGGTGGAGTAGGGGTATGGTGGAAACGGACGTGTGCCGCCGAAATGGAGGTGGAACCGCATGCGGACCCTGCCACTTGGGCCTTCGGTGGAGCTCCCTATGGGGCCACGAAACGTGTGAGGGGTGCGCCGAAATGGAGGTGGAACCGCATGCGGACCCTGACACTTGGGCCTTCGGTGGAGCTCCCTATGGGGCCACGAAACGTGTGAGGGGTGCGCCGAAATGGAGGTGGAACCGCATGCGGACCCTGACACTTGGGCCTTCGGTGGAGCTCCCTATGGGGCCACGAAACGTGTGAGGGGTGCGCCGAAATGGAGGTGGAACCGCATGCGGACCCTGACACTTGGGCCTTCGGTGGAGCTCCCTATGGGGCCACGAAACGTGTGAGGGGTGCGCCGAAATGGAGGTGGAACCGCATGCGGACCCTGACACTTGGGCCTTCGGTGGAGCTCCCTATGGGGCCACGAAACGTGTGAGGGGTGCGCCGAAATGGAGGTGGAACCGCATGCGGACCCTGACACTTGGGCCTTCGGTGGAGCTCCCTATGGGGCCACGAAACGTGTGAGGGGTGCGCCGAAATGGAGGTGGAACCGCATGCGGAAGGTGGAGCTACACGCGTGACCTTGCCATGGAGCTCCCTATCGAACGTGTGAGGGGTGCGCCGAAATGGAGGTGGAACCGCATGCGGATGGGGCCTTCGGTGGAGCTCACTATGGGTCCACGAAACGTGTGGCCATGATGGAGACGGCGATGATGATGACGACGATGGTGATAAGAACGATGATGATGATGATGATGATGATGATGATGATGATGATGATGATGATGATGATGCTGATGATAGAGGAGGAGGAGGAGGAGGAGGGGGAGGAGGAGGAGAGGAGAGGACGCGGGCACCGTCTCTTCAAAACGAGGACCCAACACCACAGGATGGTTGGGAAAAACCCTCACACGGTTCGTGGCCCCATAGGGAGCTCCACCGAAGGCCCCAGTGGCTGCGCCCGCATGCGGTTCCACCCCCCATTCTGGCACACCCCTCGCACGTTTCGTGGCCCCATAGGGGGCTCCACCAAAGGTCCCAGTGGCACTGCCCGCTTGCGTCCGCCACCACCCAGCACAGCCCTTGTTCCCTGCGCTTCACCCACCCAGAACAGCGCTTCGTAGCCCTATAGGGAGCTCCACCAAAGGTCCCAGCGGCACCGCCCGCATGCGTCCGCCACCACCCTGCACAGCCCTTGCTCCCTGCCTGCGTTTCACCCACCCAGTACAGCGTTTCGTGGCCCCATAGGGAGCTCCACCGAAGGTCCCCGTGGCACCGCTCGCATGCGTCCGCCACCACGCAGCACAGCCCTTGCTGACCGCGTCTCACCCACCAAGTACAGCGTTTCGTGGCCCCATAGGGAGCTCCACCGAAGGTCCCAGTGGCACCGCCCGCATGCGTCCGCCACCACCCAGCACAATTGCGGCATTCACAACCGCATATGGTTGGGTCCTTCGCCAGGTTAATTTCCAAACGGGTTGCTCACTGGGCAGATCGTTGTGCTTTTTGCCCCCCATTCCTCTCGCATTCTGTTCACTTGGCCAGCATGATGCACGGCAGTTCTTTTTCAAAGTGGGGCTCTCGCCCGAATGGCAGGCCCATAAGATACTCGACGTTCCAGGGGGCGCTTGTTGTGAGTTGTGATGAAAAGGAAGGCCCCCTGCCTCGTGGAATCGCCCGTGTGGACGAGCGTTATGGCAAGAGCTCTGCCAAGCTATCGGGCCATGTGTTCCCCCGGCCGTTGTAGAAACCCTTCGGGTAACACTTGGGGGAGGATGGCGGGAAGATCAGGAGGAGGCGGAGGAGGCGGAGGAGGAGGAGGAGGAGGAGGAGGAGGAGGAGGAGGAGGCGGAGAAGGACGAGGAGGAGGGGGCATCTTGGGAGCCTTTTGGAGGCATCTGGGGCCTCCTTGGGCCTCTTGAGGGCCTTTGGGGGCTTCTCGGGCGCCTCTTTGGTCGTCTTGGGGTATTTCTGGCCCGTCCGACGCCGTCGGAAGCCGTCTTGGGGGGCCTCTCTGGGCCGACTTGGGGCCCGCTTGGGATGCTCCAGGGCCGTCTTGGATGCCGTCTTGGGCGTCTTCGAGGCCTCTTGGGCAGTCTTGGGGCCCTCCCGGGGCCGTCTTCGGGGCCTCTTGGGCCGTTCAGGGCCCATCTTTGAGGCCTCGTGGCCGATCTTGGGGCGATCTTGGGGGCCTCTTGGACCGTCTTGGGCTGTCGGAAGGCGAAAAGAAGCACATGCCAACATCCTTCAAAATCCCAAGCAACAATGATTTTGGCCTCGTCGGGCCTTCCTGATGGACGTATTGGAGGCCTCTTAGGCAGTCTTGGAGGCCTCTTGGGCGCCTCTTGGGCCCTCTTCGAATACACATATTTTCTAAAGGCAGGCTTGCAGCTAAAATATTTACTTAACAGCGAGCAGTTAGAAGGTGCACCGACGCTGAGTGGCAATTTCTCAAACAAGCTCTTTTGAATACTTGGGGGATCTACTTTTGCTGGTGTTGATTTCTCTTCTTCATCTTCTTCGACAACCGTCTTGGCGTCTTCTTGGGTGGACTTGGCGGCATCTTGAACCCTCTTGGGCCGTCTTGGCAGCCATCCTGGACCATCTTGGGCGAACTTGGAGGCTATCTTGGCCGTCTTGGCGGCCATCTTTGGCCGTATTGGAGGATTCTTTCTGGTTTTGTGATCCTTTCGGGTGGCCGGCGGGACGGGCCGAAGCCCCAGGGGATAGGTCTTTTGGAAAAGAATCAAAACCAAATCGTGAAAAATCTAGCGCGCCGGGCACCCCCTGTGATAAATCAACAGGGGGCGGCGGATCGAAGACGCCTTCGGAAGCGCCTCTGTGGCCGAACGTTGAGGCCAGAGCCCTGCCAAGCTATCGGACCATGTGTTCCCCGAATCGGTTTGGAAACCCTTCGGGTAACACTTGGGGGAGGACGGGGGAGAGGAGGAGAGTGAGCAATGGGCGTGTTCGGGGCTCCTTGGGGGCTCTTGTGAGCTTTTGGAGGCGTCTTGGGGCCTGCTGGCCGTCTTAGGCCATCTTGAGGCCATCTGGGGCCGTCTTGGGTGCATCTTGGGGTCATCTTCGCTGTCTTTGGGGCCTTCTTGGCCGTCTTGGAGGCATCTTGGAGGCCATCTTGGCCGTCTTGGGCCGTCTTGGGCTCTTCTTGGGGCCCTCTTAGGGGCCTCTTAGGCTGTTATGGGGCCATCTTGGAGGCCGCTTGGGCGCTGTTGGGACGAGGTTTGAGGCCTTTTGGGCCGTCGAAGAGCTGATAAGAAGAAAAAGCTAACATCCTTCAAAACCAAAGGAACATCAATGATTTTTGCCCTTTGGGGCCTTCCTGGAGGACGTCTTGGAGGCCTTTGGGGGGCCTCTTGGCCAGTCTTAGGCCATCTTGGAACCATATTGGGCCGTCTTGGAGGCTTCTTGGACGAACTTGAAGGCATCTTGGACTCTTTCGGGCCGTCTTGGAAGCCATCTCGGACCATCTTTGGCGACTTGGAGGCCATCTTGGACCATCTTGGAGGCTATCTTCGGCCAGCGTGACCATCTTAGAGGCCATCTTGAGCCGTCCTGGAGAATTTGTGGACGTTGGGGTGGTTTATGCTGCCTTGTGCGGCCTTTCGGGTGGCTGGCGGGAAGGGCCGAAGCCCCAGGGGGAGTTCTTTTGGAAAAGAACCAAAACCAAAAGCGAAAGGGTTCAGCACGCCAGGCACCCCTGTGATGAATCAACAGGGGGCGGCGGATCGAAGACGCCTTTGGCCCATCCCGCCACCGTGCCTCGGGGGGCCTCTGGGGGGCCTCTTGGGGCCTCCTGGGCGGCTATTGGGGGCCTCTTGGGGCCTCGGGGGCCCTCGGGGCGAAGGCTTGAGAACTGTCCGTTCGGGTCCCCCATCTGGGCCCACTCTTGGTGCCGTCCTCGGGGCCTCTTTTGCCGTTTTTGAGCCCGTTTGGGCTTCTCGGGCCATCTTGGGGTGATAGGTCTGAGGACTGAGGCTCAGAGGGTTAGGCAACGGACCTGAGGACACGCCCGCTCTGTGCCCAGGGCGCGGTGGCGGATGATGAGGATGAATTGCAGCGTCGTTGGTGGTTCTAGTCCTCCTCCCTCCCTCCAGTCCTCCTCCCCCTCCCCCTCCTCCCTCCCTCCCTCCCTCGTCCTCCTCCTTCCCTAGCCCCCCTCCTCCCTCCGTGCTTCCTTCACTAGTGAGGTCTACTCCAGTCCTCCTCCTCCCTCCCCCCTCGCGCCTGCTGCTGCTTCTCCCCCCTCCCGCCCATCTCTCCGTCTTCCCCCCTCCTCATTCTTCTTCCCGGTCACCCTGCCACCCGGTGGAGCAGGAAGGTGTGGGGAGGGGAGGGGGGAGGACGTTCTTGGGTGATGGCCCCGTCCTCCTCCTCGCCGTCCTCCTGCTGCCTGCTGCTGTCCATCGCCTTTCTCGTCCGCCTTGGCCGCCTCCCGCCCGCGCCGCTGTCGTCGCCGACGTCGCCGTCGTCGTCGTCGTCGTCGTCGCCGTGGTCGCCGTTGTCGCCGTCGTCGTCGGCCTCGTCGTCGTGGCCGCGGTCGTGGTCGACCTCACCGTCGCCTTTGCCGTCTTCTTTCTCGTTATCGTCCTCGTCATCATCGACGTCGTCGTCGTCGTCGTCGACCTCGTCAAAATTGTCGTCGTTGTCGTCCTCGTCCTCGTCGTTGTTGGCCCCATCCGCCCTCCTGGAGTGCTGTCTCGCGCCTAGTGCAGGTACCCCTTCACGCCGGACTTTCAGCTCGAGTTCCAGGGCTCCCGCATAGAGGCCAAACCGTGTGTTGCTTTCTCGTTGTGTGTCTCGATGTTTTGTCCCGCTCTTCTTCACGTCTTTTTTTTCTTCTCTCGTCCGCTCTCGTCCCTTCCTGTCCCTTCTCGTTTTTTTAGTTTCTCACCTCTCTCTCTACCTCTCTGCCTCTCCTTAGGGAACCGATATTTGCAGGAAGGGCACTTGACGTCGCTGGTGTGCTGGCCCTCTTGAATGGGGTCTGCAGCAGTACTGCGGACTATGCAGAACTTACACCTGTCAGAACTTACGTATATATACATATATATATATATATATATATTATCAATGTATATATTCGAGCACCTGGCACTATCGAGGCATATGCCACTATCGAGGAGTAGCCCAATACGAATACTTATACGGGTTCCATGGGCTTGTAACAAAATCAGCCAGTGGGGACCCCAAGCAGTGCGCTGTTACAGTGTGAAGGGGGAAGCAATGCTGTGGAACCTCTGTGATGAAGGCGGTGTCGTATACGCTATGTGGTGCGAGCTATGGACGCGAGCCCTATGCAGTTGAAGCTGTGCGGTGTAAGCTGAATGGTGTAAGCTCTGCGGTTTAAGCTATACGATGTAAGACAGTGTTTAAACTTGTGCGGTGCGAGCCATGTGGCGTAAGTCATGTGGTGGCTGCTATGTCGCGCAGGCTCAGAACACGAGGCGCCCGCCAGGCGCCTCCGGGGCGGCACGGGCGGCAGCGCGGCGAACACCCATCGTACCCTCCAAGAGCGGGGCGCCCACGAGGCGCCCGCCCGGCGGCACGGGCGGCATCGTGGCGCATTCCAGCCCCCCCCCCCAGGGGCGGTGCACCCACCAATCGCCCACGAAGCGGCACGGGACGGTAGACCAGCGAGATGCACCATACCAATCCAGTTCTTCACGCCAGGGCAGCAATCCATTTTAAGTGCAGACACTTTGTTCTGGAACTGGCGTGTGCCAACCCCGCATATTGAGCTACTGCATCCTGGACGTGCAAGCTATGCGGTGCAACCTATGCGGTGCCAGCTATGCTTTGTCAGCTACATCTGTGGTGCAGGCTAGGTGGTGCAAGCTACGTGGTGCAAGCTTATGTGGTGCAAGCTATGTGGTGCAATTTGTTTGATCGTGCCCCTGTGTGACCACCTCCGATGTGCGTGCAAATCCTCCCCCCCAGCCCGCAACTTGTTGGCAAAGCACAAGGCTGCGTCACCGACGATGGCGATGACGATGGTACGATGTTCATGGCGAGGATGACCACAATGCTGGTGATGGTAATGACGGTGGCAGCGATAACCCTGGCAATGTGGATGATGGCGATGCTGATCATGCTGAATAATATGAAGATGATGATGCTGATGCTGCTGCTGATGATGATGATGATGATGCACATGATGATGATGATGCTGATGGTGCTGATGCTGATGCTGATGATGAGGATGACGAGGATGACGAGGATGATGAGGATGCTGGGGGTGATGAGTGATAGCAATGATGATGAGGAGGATGAGGATAAGAAGGAAGAGGAGGATGGTGATGGTGACGGTGATGGTGACGATGCTGATGGCGTTGGTGATGGTTATGATGATCATCATTATCATGATGACGATTATGGTTCTGTTGAAGATGGTATTGATGACGATGATCATGCTGATGCTACTGATGACGAGGATGATGATGTCGCTGATGATGGGGATGATGAGGAGTATGAGGAAGTGCGCGCAGACATTTGACGAGGGCCACGACACCGACGACATCGGCAATGACTGCGATGCCGGTGGCGGGAATGATGATGATGACGTCAATATGAGTGCTGATGATGTTGATGTTGATGATGCTGATGTTGGTGATGATGCTGCTGATGATGATGATGATGATGATGATGATGTTGTTGTTGTTGTTGTTGTTGTTGGTGGTGGTGGTGGTGGTTGTGATCCTGATGATCACGATGGCAATGGTGATGCTTGTATTATTTCACAATGTTTGCGGTCGGGCGATGGTTGCTGAATTGTTTCGGCATGCGCACGCGTGTGGTCCGCATAGCCTTATTAAACATAAACAACTGAACTTGTGATTTTTGTTCTCGGATTCCAGCGAGTCCGCGTGCACATAATTACGGTAGCATTTTGATGACACGTTTTGTGTTATTGAACAGCCATTTCCAAGAGCCATGTCTGAGAGCTGATTTTTTTGTGAATTGGACATGTGCGCAGGGCAGCGTGCGCATGTGCCCCCGCATGGTGTTGGTTGCCCTTTCTCGGGACGGCCGACCTCGCGGGGAGAAACGAGTTGATGTGCTGTTCCACATCCGTGACCTACGCTCCCCCGGGGTTATGACTTCTTGCATCTCTGCTCATAAAGGCCACAGCTGATACAAGCGCATGCTCACCCCATAGTAATATTTGTCAGGGTTGAGGGGGTCGACACCAGGACAAGGGCTGTCATGGTCATATGTATATTGAATACATATATGTATATGGTTGCCACCCCCCAAAGATCATACATACAGGCTTTGGGTCCCTTTCGTCCTCTGCCTCGTCTTTCCACAATTTCCTCCGAAAGGAAGCCTTGGGAAACGTTGCCGGCCTGCGAGGATCAGGGAGTGAGGGGAGGAGGGCGAGGAGGAGGCTGCGGATGATTGAGGAGGAGTCGGAGGGCAACCAACACTGCTATATACCCTAAAGCGTACAGGGATAATTTCCCACCACGCATTCTGCTCTCTCAGATCACTGAGGCGTGCGGGGAGAACTGGCCACCAACCACCTCCATGCTCCAATACTCCTAAGACATCCGAGGGTAATTGGCCAGTCAACACTTTTACCGTGTTACATGTTGACGTGGCCGCAAGTTCGCGGTATTTTTTCAGATAATTCAGAAATTATCCCAGTGCGACCCTACCTAGGAGTTGGAGCATTTAGGAAAGCAACATTCACATCTACTTCGCCAGCTACATTTACATCTACACCTGCATCTATGCTATGCTATGCTATGCTATGCTGCGTTATGCTATGCTATGCTATGCTATGCTATGCTGAGCTATGCTTTGCTATGCTATGCTATGCTATGGTAGGATTGGCTATGCTATGCTATGCTATGCTGTGCTAATGCTGCGTTGCACTATGCTACGCTAAGCTAAGCTAAGATGCTATAAGCTAAGTTAAGCTTAGCTGAGCAAAGCTAATATAAGCTAAACTAGGCCAGGCAAGCTAAACTAAGCCAAGCTAAGCTAAGCTAAGCTAAGCTAATATGATATAGCTAAGTTAGGCTAAGCTAGGTTACGATGAGGTAAGCTAAGCTAAGATGGGATAAGCTAAGCTAAGCTAAGCTAAGCTCAGCTAAGCTCAACTAAGATATGCCAAGGTAAGTTAAGCTAATATGTGATGAGCTAAGCTAAGCTAAGCTAGGCTATGCTACGCTCAGCTAAGCTAAGCTAAGCTAAGATTATCTGAGCTAAGCTGAGCTATGTAAGCTAAGGTAAGCTAAGCTAAGCTAAGCTAAGCTAAGCTAGGGGAACCCAGGGGGCGCAACTGGGGGAAATGCGGGGCGGGGACTTGGGGAACCGCCCGGGGCGGCCTACACTGCCCGGCCCCCTCAAGCAAACAAGGTAAGAACCCTCTAGGCAGAGCCTAGGTAGGGAATTTTAGAATGCAGTAGTGCTTGGTGGTTGTCATTCGTTTTCGCACGCCTCGGGAAATTTAGTAAGGAACAGGGTTTGGTGATTTCGCAGACCACCCAGCGCTACTAGTCTCTAGGATCTTGATGACTGGCTGCAGTCGAGGCCACCAGATACGACAGTTTCGTTGCAACTTTGCTTTGCTGTATGCGCGTGGTTGCGCTCCCACACTGCTGCGGTTCCTTCGTCCCTCTCTCTCTCTCTTTCCCTCTCTCTCGCTCTCTATCTCCCTCTCTCTCGCTTTCGCTCTCTCTCTCTCTCTCTTTCTCGCTCTCGCTCTCTCTCGCTCTCGCTCTCGCTCTCTCTCTCTCTCTCTCTCTCTCCTCTCTCTCTCGCACTCGCTTGCCCACCCACTCTGCTTCCCAAACAGATGTAGAGGGTGATGGGGGAAAGAAACACGCTCCCCCTCTCTCATTCTACTTCTCAGTATTTACATATCAATACCTCTCTCTTTCTTTCCCTCCCTCCATATGTGTAAACCTGTATGTATACACATGTAAGTCTGCACCCCTTGTTCTCACACACGAACCATCCCGCTTCATAATGCTAGATTGCTTGTGATACCCTCTATTTTTTTCTCTCTCTCTCTCTCTCGCTTTCTCTTTCTCACGCGCGCTATCTCTCTCAGTCTGCCTATGTATCTCTCTGTCTCCCCCCCTCTGTCTCTTTCTCTCTCTCTCTCTCTCTCTCCCTTTCGTTCTCCCTCTCAAGCGCATGTGAAAGAGGAGGATTGTACTCACATGGTTCTGATGTAAATTCGACCCTGGCGGGAAACTCACTTTGTGCCTGCGAATGCAATAGACACGTATTGAGTCTGGGGTCTGTTCCGTTCCACATGAAATATCATCGATAGCCGACTCAACTCTAATCTGTTTCAGAATGCAACACAGTGGAGATCCATGCCAAGAACCACCCTGCTTGTCTCCAGGGTGCCCTGGGTTTCTTGGGATTCGATGGTTTTACTGTGGAAGGCGCGACGTTCCCACACCAACGATCAAGGGACGCCCTGGGGTCCCAGGGTTTGGTTTCGTATAGAAGGTGGCTTGTGGACTGGCCTCCTCTGTATTCCTTGCGGCTCTCTGCCTCTCGCGCGCGCGCTCGGTCTGTCCATGTCCCTCTCTCTCTCACTCTCGCTCTCTCTCTCTCTCTCTCTTTCGTTGCTTAAGTTCTCTCTCTCTCTCTCCCCCCTCTCTCTCTCTCTCTTTCTCTATCTCCACACCCCCTCACACCAGGGAGGATGGAGAGGAGGATACCTATATCGTTATGATGCCTTTTCGGTTCCGAATGCGGTTCCATGTGGCATTCCCGAATGGGTTGCAGTGGAATCACAT